GTTGGGTTGGGCTAAACCAATTGCTAGTTTGAGGTTCTTGTATTTTTAGCTGGGGATTTACTTTTGATTAAGACTCTAATTAAATTTCGAAGGAAAATTAAATTTTCTTATGTGTAGATCCTGTTTAAACTGCAAGTGCATGTTATCACATGAAGTAATAAAGTGATGAATAGAATGTCAATCTTCTACGTGCAAATTACTAATGTTTATTGGACTATTATGCTTATCTAGAGAACTAACAAAAATGTGATTGCAAATGTAAAAAAATAAAAATAAAAGCTTCAAAATACAAGAACAAAGTTTCTAATATTATAAAGTTCTGAACCTATGAATCCTTAAAAGAACATGATTGCCTTACAGAGGGATGTTTTCTAAAGTTGTTATAGATCAGAGTAATTGTTCTCCTCATCTCTATCAAGTTCATTTGAGACTAAGCTAAAATTAATGCTAACTGCAATTAAACTATCTTCTTAGGACCTTATAACCCAAGCCACCATATGTCTATGAATGGTCAGATTACATTCTAAGTTCTTTATTTGCTCTTTTAGCCTATCTATCACGGCTCAGAATCACATAGTATTTTGAATTTATGCAAGGACTATACATAAGCCAACTTAAGTGTGGAGAAAATAAAAATAAGATGAATTTAATAAACATTCAACCTTACTCTAAGCAATACATGCTTTTTTTAATTCATCACAAATCCAGAAAAGTAAATAATTAGCTGCAAATGGAGGCGATGAAGCTTACAAGAAACATAATAAACATTACAAGCATTTTATTTTATTAACTTGTTCATAAATACAACCCAAGATACACTCAAAACACAGACAAAGAAACACAAGTAATGTCTAGAAATTACTCGAAAGTACTACTACAATCCTTTGTTCACTCATTTGTGTTACTCTACTTCAATGCAAGACTATGATACAACGAACACAAGCTACACACTCCACTTTACCACTCATACGCACTCACACACTCTCACCATGCAATGACTTCTCGTAGTGGCCTCTCCTCTCACTCAAGGAATAAGATGATTATTTATAGTTTTTAATTTTTAACTGAACTAGCGTTGCAAGGCTGGCTTGGCGGCACTAATGAATTGGTGCGCTAGTTTATCAATCATCATCACGGTTCATTGGTTCAACAGTCTCCCGCCATAGCACTGGGCGAGGTGATTTGGTGCTATGACGCTCCGGTCCAGTGCTGCAGCGCTAAGCTCTACAGCCGATTTTTGGTAAGCTTTTCATTGTGGTGCTGAGGGGTGTGGCGTTGAAATAAGTTATAGCGCTGCAGTACTTGTTCAATTTTCCTTTTTTTTTTTTTCACTAAACACAAAGTTTACAAACACAAAATTACAGTAATCATAAGCATATAACATAACAATTTTTATCTTATAAAAATGATGGTGTCTCGAGCAATTTCTCTTTTATCTGTGTATATCAAAATTTTGTACTATACGAAAACAATAAATTCTCACACTTTTATGGCCATGAATCTTTTAGAACACAGCAAGCTTATTACTATTTTAGGATTATTCATCTTTTACATATTAATTAATTTTTATTTCTTGTTAACATTTCCTGTTTTATTACCATTTCTTTTGCCCTTCTGCTTCATTGATCACCCACATCAATTTTCTCCATCCGCCTCGTGCCCATAAACGCAAAATCCTTCAGTCTTTTGCCAAACTGTGAGGAAAATTGACTTGAGCTTCGTCGATCTTAGACAGGGGAAGAAATCAGTGGGAGCTTCATCTAACAGAAGCATCTGCTGATTTTGCTGGTTGCGGGGAAATTATTTTTGGAAGGACGATGATGAATGCTGATCTGTATCAGCTGCCCCTTGGACGGTCCACTGGGCAACCAGGGGCTTTGCTCAAATTTTGTCCCGTCGTGTTTCTGACCCTTCGAGTATTTGAGCTTTTTCTGAGTCATTGGCATTTTGCCTATCAGATTTTGTGTTTCTTTTTTTCCAAATTGTAATTTTCTTTTCTTTAGAATCCTAAATCTCTTTTGTTGTTTGAGATTTCTGGATTATAGTTTTGCTTCTTACTTACTTGTAATCCTTTTTTAGCAATGAGATGGTCATATGCCCCAAAATTTCCCAAAGGGCAAGAAAATCAAAAGGCAAGCAACCACCTAGGCAATAGAAGCTATCAATCGAAAATCCATAACCAAATCACCCCTAGCACTATCATAACAAAGAAGAAGAAGAAAAAAGTAAAAGGGAAATATTACTTCTTTTTTCACTTTACGCCTCTGATATTTGACACCACCAATGAAAAATATTTTTTGAACAATACAACTCACATTTAAACCATACATTTCTTGGAAAGCATCTTCTTGTTCATCTAAACTATCCCCACAAGTCAAGAAGAATGAACCATTCAGCTAATCATAATGAACCTCACAGTTTTGAACAAATTTGGAAGTCAATTGAGATTTCAAATCATCAGATGAAATAAGCATAATCGGAACATCAACAACCTGCATCGCCTCATTCGGCCCCAAACAAGTAGTCGAAGCAACATTATAGCCAAAAGATATGAGAACATTAGAAAGAGGCTCATCCACAATATTACCAACAATATCAGGGGCATGAACATCCAAACTAGCATTAACACCTCCATTCTCAATTGGCATATCAGGAACCACAACATCCATAGGACTAAGAGCAGCACAATCCTCATGTTGCAAAGAACCAAAAATACCACTCAAAATGGGACTAAGAGTTAGCCCCACAAGTAACACCCTCAATATTACCACATGAAATAGCCAAAGGCAACAAAAGAACCGACAGATGAGCACCCTCAAAATTACCCATCATCACTGGAATATCATCATGTAGAAAATCAACCTCAACAACCATCACCCCAAGACCATGTTCAACACCATTACCCCGACCAGGCAACATTTCAATGTTAGAAGCAACAATACACAAATTAGAGCTAGGATTATCCAGTTTTTCAATAGTAGCAACAACAATGCCATCATTAATAGCATTTTCCAAAACAATAGTAGCATTTCCATCAAACAAAAGAGGATTGATGGAATTCGCTTGAATATTCGTTGGGGTAGAGGACAGGGTGTGACACTCCCTCCTGACATGCCCAATGCATTTACAAGAAATACAAAATGAAGGAGAAGCCTCCATTTCAACTATCTGAATTTATCCAAAATTATCATGACCAATCCACACCTTGTCCGTATTTTTTTTAGTAATGTCCAGTTCAACCAAAATATGCTCAACAGAGAGACGTGAACCCACAGATGTGGCATTATAGACTTTTAACAACTGACCAAACATTGAACCTAAAGCATGAAGGATACGGGGAGAGAAGAGGTGTGGCCTTAACTTTGGGAAAGATATCCAAATGGGAATCACATGAGATTCAACACTAATATCAAGTGGAAGAGACCATTTATTTGATTTCATGTAGCAATTATTAATAAAGTATGATATATGACAAAATACCAGACTATAACCTAGATCATTCATCAACTTAATCAGAACATGCGACGGATTGATCAACTTCACAGAAAATCATCTTAAGTTTAAAGTTGAAAAGAACTTGCGAATGACGTCTAAAGAAGGACGACGAAAAGGAAAAAAAATTAACCAGCGCATATTGGAATGGCTCCACGAGAGCCAGTATCTCCTCTTCCAAGATCTAGAAAGAAGGAAGACCATGGAATGTAGCTCACTTGAGCTTAGGAAAAAAATCATTCGAAGAAGAACTAGCTAGGGCATCAGCAAAAGAGCGAGAATTAAATGATTCATCCAAAAAATCAGGATCATAAATGTGAATCATCGCCATTCCAGATACGAACGATCGGAGGTGGATAATTCGAAAAAAACAAATGAGAAAAACACAAACAAATCTCAAAATAGTGCATAGACACAAGAACTCAACCGGGAGAACCCAGTCGGAGCGAAGGCGGGAGAATGAAGCCAGCTGCTCGACTGCTCGATGCACTAACTGAATTAATACTTATCTATGCAATAAGTTGATTGGTTATTTTAGGGTTTGTAAAGAGGATCTAATCTTTGTGTGGATGTTGAGAAATCCGAGCAAAAAGGAAATGTATTTGTCACATGTATGAAGTTGATGATAATTGAGATAATGCCAATGATGTTTATGATGAACATGAATATTAACGTAACGAAAATATATATTAATTTAATGCAATTTCTTATTTTTCTAATTCAATTAACTAATTTATTAGAATTCCTTATGTTATATAATTACTAGAAAGCATGTGTGTAACATACTTATTAACTGATTAAATTGGTGTAGTTAGATATTAATTTAATTTTTTAATTGTTTATATATTTAGATTTATTAAATTTATTTATTAATAATTTAATATGAAAAATCAAATTATTTTGCAAATTTTTAACTTTGGTATTAGCTCATTTAAGTAATGATTCACATAATTTAAGTTTGGGACAGCTTTTTGGCTGCTTTGTCAATCAATTTTTTTAATAAAAATTGCTTAGAAAGCCGCTCAAACAAAACCTTAAACAAACTTTGCTGAAAAATTTAAACTAGCAAATATGAATATACAAATGAGAAGCTCAGCCTAAGCTAACTCAGACGCACAGCACCAAAAATCCATTCAGATGATCATTTTGTTCCCACTGAAAGACTATCAGAGTCTAATTTAAGTTGAAAAGTAAACTCCAGATTTAAAAAATTTCTGAAATCTTATATGAAATCTCATTATTATCTTCTTCCAATGGGAACCTTCCTCCTCCATTATTCCATTAACGACCAGAAAAAAATGTCAACTTGAAAGAAATTGATATCACCAAACAAGCTTTGTGTTTTACCATGATACGCTATCTACCTTTCAGTCAAGGAAAGTAGGCCGCGTGTGCAAGCAGTGCCCCACGTGAGGCGGCCGCCGGTGATCTAACGACGACCGGCGCCGGCGCTGCAAGCAAATAAACATTCTGAAATTGGAAAAGCTTCACCTTTTCGCTGCCAAATGTGAATCCAAAAGAATAGAAGTAGCATTTTATTCTTATTACTATTATTGCATTCCCAACTATAGTTATACATTTCTCTCTCATTTCTAATCTCTTCTGCTAACTTCGTATATACATTTAGACAAAGGATTAAACCTATCTTATACTACCAGTTTTAATAATAACAACCACTAACGTCACAACATTATTCCTATAACTGCAGCAATCTTAACTCAGCTTAGCCATCTCCTCCTGCTCCTCCTTTCACCGTTGGAGAAGCACAGCACCGGCCTCCGCAAGCAGAAGCGCAGCGTGCTCAGTAATCGGAGTTTTTATCATGCGTTTATTTATGCTTTATATAGATTATACACAACTAAACGAGAGAGAAAGGAGGCATCTTGATTCTTTTTATGCCAAGTTATTAGAACTCCAGAATAAGGCTACCAAAGGGGGCTCGGTGAGGAATCCCCTTCCTTCTCTTCGCCGTGCGATAGCTGAATGCGGTCGGCGGCGGGGTCGAAGGTGTAAAACTCTGCACAACAGTGCTCGAATAGGATTCATCGGAATCCGATCCAGCCGTCTTTCTGTTCTTCTTCCCCTGTTTCCTGACTCCGGTTTCATTTGACGTTCCAACAATCTGTAAATTTTAATTGGAAGAATCAGAGAAGGGGCAATGGAGATTGATTCGAACTAGAAGTGAAAAGGGTAAAAGGTAGGACCTTGCAGCCGAGAGAGCAGAAGCGGAAGCAGTCGAGGAGGCTCCGCTCACAAACCTCGCAGGTGTTGGTGACGCCTTTGCCTGGCCTCGGCTGCGGCCGCTCGTTGAGGAAGACGACGCGAGCGCTGTTGATTATGTAAGTCTGCACGCCGCTAATGTCCAGTACCTTTTGTATCTCGGAAACTCTAATCACATCGTGGTATGATGATCTTCTAATCTAAAATAAAAAAGAAACAAATCAATTGCTACCTCTTCCATTGGCGGAAAACAGAGCAGAGAGCCACAATACCCAAAATTGTTCTTTTTATTCCATCGGGAAAGCAAGACGGGAGGAGAGAGAAGATGGAGGAATGACCTGGATGGCGCGGTGGTCGCGGTGATAAGCGAGACAGAGAGAGCACAGAGCGCCGTTCATACAGTCAAGGCAATACATATTGCACTCGCTCTTGTGAGCGTCGGCGTGGAGCTTGCATTGAACGAAGAAGCTCGTCGAGAGCAGAGGCCGCAGCCATGGCGGCCATCGGCTATCGTTCTCTCCTCCTCCCTGAAACAGTTCAATAAACATGATCAACATCCCAATTCAACATCTTTAAAAGAAGCAAACAAACTTGATATCCTTCCAAACAACCCGAACAGAGCTTACTCACCATGATCTTCTGTGCACTTTCAGCTCCCTGAACGGCTGTTACCGGTCAATTATAGCTTAGAGAGAGAGAGAGAGAGAGCGCGCGCGCGCGCGGAGGGAAAAGTCGAAGGTGGTCGAGGTAGGAGAAGAGAGACCGGTTGTTCTTATCTGCTAAAAGTCTTCGGCCCGAGCCTTTGCCTCCGAATCCGAGCCTCTCTCTATGATGCGTTAATTGCAAGGAAACCTTCCTTTCCTTGGCTGCCCATTTCCACTATTTATTGCAATGTCCACCGTATTAATTAATTAATGTTAATTTTAGTTTTATAAGACAAAACTTTTGATGATTAATAGTTGGGCAAGTTATTGCAGCTAATTACATCCGTGCCATTGATGATTAACGGTGAATGTCAGGGCCTAATCACACCTTAACCACTTGCTAACTTTAATCCTTTAGTGGACACGAGATTGGCGACTTTTGCATGATTAGCCCTTTCTCCCATCCTACTTATTTACTTTTGCATTATTCACGAATTTATTCCCTCGGAAATATTAACTGAAATATCTCTAATTTTGTCATTTTTATGAAGTTGAATATATGAAAATAATTTAATTCTTCTAATTCAAAAAAATAAATTTTCATCATAATTTTTTAAAATTTATTTTAAAAATAATAAAAAATAGTATCAATATATAATTATAATAGTTATCTGAGAAAAAAATATCCTACATAAATTCTTATTTGTCTATATAGTTATAACAATAAATAAATAAATAAATAACTTCCAAGACTTATGCGAGCCACGCATAAATATAAAATATTTAATGAAAATAAAAATATTTTAATTTGAATGCTAATATTTATGAATAATTAATTTTCAAATATTACATGAAATGCACATTCTTCTGCGACAAAAACTTCTATTATCTGAATTTGCTATATGGCACATATGCACGCCCACATGCATATGTCGCTTTGTGATTGGGTGATACAGGTAGTGGGACCCACCTGCCGGAACACGAATCCACCTAGGCTTTAATATAATATTTATTAATTTTTTTATTTTAAGTTATTAAATTCTCTTGTTTTTTTTTTTTCTTTTGAACTCCGGTTTTTTAATAAATGAAAAAAATAATTTACCAAAAAAATAAATGAAAATTAATTTTCAATTAAATGAATGCATAAAAATAAATACATTTGTCAGTTTCCTAAATTAAATGACTTCTCAATTTTTTTTTTTTTGCTATTCTTGAAATTATATTAATCAATTAGTTTGATTAACTTAAAATAATAATAATTAATTTATGATAATCTAAACGCATCAGATTTATTAGATTACTTATTTAATTCCTTTGATTGTAAATTGATGCTTACTTTTGTTGATAAGCATATGGAAAAAATAGGCATGCAATTTTTCAATTTATCATTCAAGTTTTATATATTTATAAAATTCACATCTAAATATTTCTATTTAGAACATCATAATCTAAAGTTTTATTTGTGACAATTTTTTTAATGCTTTCTACAGCTGTATTTTAGTAAAAAAACTTCTTGTTAAAAACTTCTTGTTCAACAAATTTTTTGTACTAAAAAGTTGTTTTAAAAAACAGTAAAAAAGCTATCTCAAACGAAATCTAAATTTTGCAACGAAAATTACTTTTCATTTCAAATATTTATTAAATTTGAACTAACTTAATTGACTCGTAGACAAATATATAAATTTTATGACCCATCTTTCTAATTTTTGCATGCTATAACTTGTAAAGTTTTTTAGAAGTCTAACATAGTTATAAATATTTAAATTTAATAATTAATTTTCCTAAATTCCCACCTCCATGTATGATGATTAGGAGTTAAAGCCCTCAATTATAAGAAAAATTATGAGCTTTCGAATTAGGTGCGGATGATAAATCTCAAGCAATTTAAGAAATCATAATAAGATATTTCATGTGTGATATATCAGTAAAAAAATATATTGATCAGGCACCAATCCAATAATGGTCGTTGCGACCCCCGTCGCCTGCCAGCTACTATCTTTCGAACCTCCGTCGTCTGCCGACTACTGTCTTTCAGACCTACGTCGCCTGCCGACTACACTCCCCTCCGACTATTATCCTTCAGACCTCTGTCGCCTGCCGACTACAATCGATGCCGACTATGGTCCTCCCGACCTTCATGCCCGCCGACTACGATTCTCCCGACCTGTGTCGCCCATCGACTACTGTCCTTTTAACGTCTATCATCAGCCAACAATGGTCCTTGTGGCCCTCATCGCCCACCGACTACTATCTTTTGGACCTCCGTCATCCGCCGACTAATGTCTTTCAGATCTCTATCGTCTGCTGACTATGATCCTTCCGACCTCCATCGCCATACTACGGTTCTCCCGACCTATGTCACCCATCGACTACGATCGTTTTGACCTCTGTCATCAGCCAACAGCGGTCCTTGCGGCCCCCATCGCCCACTGACTACTATCTTTTGGGTCTCCGTCATCTGCCGACTAATCTTTCAGACCTCCGTCGTCCGCTGACTACGATCCTTCCGACCTCCGTCGTCATACTACGGTTCTTCTGACCTATGTCGCTCGCTGACTATGATTTTGCCGCCCCAAACAAACATGTCGACATTGATTCTTCCAACTCCCACCGTGTAATATACTATGTATGACATATATTTGCTACATCGAGCCAAGACCTTCCTCTTAAGGAAAGGCCTCGTTTGTAATGGATTGCAAACAATAATGGATCCATTCAATTTGGGCCAGGCCCCGTGGGTTTTCCCCCTTTTCAAGGGTTTCCACGTAAAAACTCTGGTGTCTCTTATGAACTTTACACCCTCTCCTTTTTCTGCTTGTGTTATGGATCTTCGTACAAAGCTAAGACATTAATCTTTATATTTATCTACCGCCACTAATTTTCCAGGACGCAACAATGTGATTTATTTTTCTACATATACAATATCAATATCTAGTAATTTCTCTCAATATGATGACACTTCCATTATGATTTATTAGTTCCATTAATTTAAAATAAACATTGAGATTTTAATGTTATAAAAAAGAAAAAAAAAATTATCAGTAGGATATTCTCATCAAATTTTTTATCAAGATGGCCTTTTTTGAATTTTTGAATTTTCCGCGAGATTAGTGTACTCCAAATTATTTATATATTATATTTAAAAATTAGGTTTAATAGTTATAAAGTCTATCATTAATATCTTTTAATCATGATATTAAGGTGCCCTTGGGTAATATATTTCTTTCTATTTTCTAAAACATTTTTCCAATACATAAAACTTTTGTTTTAAAATTTTTTGTATTAAAAAATTGCTTATAAAGTAGTAAAAAATTATCCTAAATAAGAGAAATTATGACGTGCAGTCACCGGACGCCGTCCAAATGCGAATCAAGATGTGTAATGTCACCCCCGATACACAGTGGTACATAGCTCTGATACATAGCAAATAGCGACATGGCACGTCCTGATTCGTCTCTGGACGGCGTCCAATGACTGCACGTAATAATTTCTCCCATAATAAAACCTATGCTATAAACTTATTTTAGAAAAATGCGAGGTTACGTTTTGGACCCTAAATAATTCTTCTTATTAATGAAAAAGACATCAATTAAAAAAAAAATATTTATTATATCACTTTCTTCCTTGTAGCCAAGATTGTTGCTCATCATGCGTGGTGAATGTGATGGGCACTCTTGCGTGCATAACACAATTAGAAGTTGACATTTTTATATAATAAATAAATTTAATAAATATGCAAAACTTCCACTTATTTTACAGAAAATTAGATAATCATTTTCTTTTATATATAATTCAATTTTTTTATGGCAATGAAAAAAAAATGAAAAATCCAACATATAAATCGAATAAAGGAAGCTAATGGAAACGGAATAATAGCTGCGAGAGAGAAAAAAAAGGAACCTCACTATTTTTTCGAGAATAATTTTATTCAAATTTTTTGAAAAACTCAAATGAAATGAATGATAAAAACCTTATATAGAAAATATATTCTCATTCCAATATATTTAAGATATTATTATCTTAATCTGCTTTCTAATTATTTTTTATTATTGAGTGCTAAAATATTCACGATAATAATGAGAGGTTTATATCTTAATTTTGCACATAGATTCTACACTTACATAGATAATATCATACACTTACATAGATAATACCATATATTGAGAGCATTAAAGTATTTACTAGAAATTTTGAAAAAAAATTGAAATCAATGGCCTAATCCAAATAAAATAGACTGGACGGCTTTCTCAATGCTTCTTAAAGCAAATTTTTAGTAAAAAATTAAAATTTTTGTATTTGAAAGCTGATTTAAAAAACAGTAAAAAAGTTGTCCCAAACGAACCCTAATATATAAGTGAGCTATAGAGCTCTGCTCTTCTCTTCAACTAGTGAATACTAGATTACAATATATATATAATAATAGCTTAAATGATTGGACGGCTTTCTCAATGCTTCTTAAAGCAAATTTTTAGTAAAAAATTAAAATTTTTGTATTTGAAAGCTGCTTTAAAAAACAGTAAAAAAGTTGTCCCAAACGAACCCTAATATATAAGTGAGCTATAGAGCTCTGCTCTTCTCTTCAACTAGTAAATACTACATTATAACATATATAATAATAGCTTAAATGATTGCAATTAACAATGCTGGAGATAATCAAAGATGTAGTTGTGATCGGTGGTTGACAATCAAGCAATAAGAATCCAATGACGACAGTTGAACTATGACTGACATATGATGGGTTTCGAGCAACACAGAGGGCAGTAGATGAACGTACTATTACAACCAAGCGATCACTGGCCGGTGAGTACCAATAATTTGTCAATGGCGATCAAATAAGCTCTCCTCAGGATACTTATTTTGATTATAAGCACCTAAGATTTAGATATCAATAGACTTGTCTAATAATTTTTTATTTCTTAATATATTGGCAGAAACCCTACAATTCAGCTGTAAATTTATAGGTTTGGCATCAAATAATAAATCCCCATCCCCATTGTTAGTTGAGCAAACTTGATTACAGCATGAAACCCCATCCACAATGTTTTAAATTCCAAAATTGATGTAAGATAGTGTATTATTTAAGCTTCGATAATAATAATAATAATAATAATTATTATTATTATTATTATCACTGAAAAACATAAAACCATTACATCACATTCATCTCCCCACCGTTTGCAATTATATGAAGGCGGCCATGAACAGTGCC